GAGATAATCAGAAATCCAAAATAGAGGTGGTCCCCTTACCCCGTAATGCTGTAACTTTGAAATTAAAATATCATGATTAATTGTGTCAAATGCTTTCTTAAAGTCGACAAAAATACCAAGGGCCACTTTTGAATTATCACATTGAAATAAAAGATTATTAACTAAATTAATTAACGATAATTTTGTGCTGTACTTTTTGCGAAACCCGTATTGATGCTTATAAAATATATTAAATTTTTCAAGGAAATTAGTTAGACGGTCATTAAATAATTTTTCAAGAACTTTGGATAATACCGGTAATATAGAAATCGGGCGGTAGTTCCCTATGTTATCCTTTAGGCCTTTTTTAAATACAGGAACTACATAATAGCCATTGAGTCGTGATTATCCATCGAACATTCATGTTTCTATTTGGTCTAATGGAACAGTTTGCTAAAAAATGGCTGGATGTTTGAGTAAATAGAAACATGGAGGTTCCAAACAAATTGGCACCAAAATTAACTCTCTACCACCAGTGGTTGCGGAGATATTCACGACTCTATGGCTATCATGTATAAAATATGTAAAAGGTCAGAAGTGGAATTTCCAGTATTTTTTTAGCAAACTCATTTATTAGACCAAATAGAAACATGAATATTCCGAACAAATTGACACCACAATTAACTTTCTACCACCAGTGGTTGCGGAGATATTAGAACCATGGCTGTCCATGGCTCCTAGGGTATACCTCGTTATGTCGTCGATCTCGAAAAGTCTACAATTTTCTAGAGGGCGTCCATCAAATGGCGGTGAACGGCGTTCATGTCGAACGTGTGCTGCGTCTCTATAACGCATGTTCGAGTTTCGAACGCAATTTTGTTAGAGTTCCGAACGCTATTCGATTTTTCAATAGAGCGCCCCCTACCTCGTGGTAGTAGTACCCATTATTCCTCCACCGGATTTACCTTTTCCGCCATCTTTAATTGCAACATCAATTTTTGTATCTACAGCCCCAATCGGGGCTGTAGATACAAAAATCGGAGGGACCCCTGCTCCTAAATTAACCAATCGGTGGTGGTACAGTTAACTGACATGGTCAGTCAATTTGCATACGTCAAGGACCCCGACTGTCCCTTGAACCGAAGCTCCTCACAACCTAGTTACGCCACTGATTTAGACAGAGGTTTTTTTTTTTTTTTTTTTTTTTTTAAATGTTGATGAGTTTCATATGACAAGAGCCATTAGGCCTATCCAAGGGGAACAAATACGTTTTCTATTGCCCAAGACCCTAATGGCAATTTAAAACCACCCTTAGCTGTAGAAAAGCCCCAAAAATGTCTCCTTACCGTGGTAGCAGCGGGAGGCATAGTGCATTTCGAAAAATGAAAAATGGCAGAGGGTTTTCTTAGAGAATGAAAATATGACAAATATATTACTAATCATAAAAGAATTTTCTTTCAAATTCCGAAGGGAACAAAGAAATCCATCAAGAATTGGCTGAGATGTGACTGTACAAATATAAAAATGACCGGTTTCAAAGCTAAACTCGGTGCAAATTACAGTGTAAATCGCTTATCAGCTGAAGTTCGCGCTGTTAAAACGAAAATATTGCACCACGAATTCATGAAGTGTTTTCTAATATAGACTAGCTGAACATTCTACAATATCTAACAGTGTTATTCACAACCATATTGAGTCTAGTGATGGTTTTTAAATCTTCTTAATTTCCCAACACATTTAAAGATGATTTACTTGTTAATTACAAATCCTTAATTTATTCCATGGCAACATCATAGGCCTACAGTAAATAATAGTTCACCTAACTGATACAATTTACTATTTAGGGAAGTGTAAAAACTGTTCATAAATAGTCTAAAACTATATTTATTATTCAATAAATATAGTAGGCCTTGCACAACATTATCTGAACTTTTTCATTCCTTGTTAAGAGTATACAGAAACACTTGGAACATGAGCGCAATGCAGTATTGTTTAAGCTACTGAATATTGACTCATGTTTCACTAAGCAAATTTTGTATTATGCCTTTCTTTGCTTTTCTTTTCATGAAGTTCTTCTTTAATCACCTCTGTAGTTTGTGGGTGATTTCTGGATATCACAAATGTCACTATTTCTGTTATAGTTGTTCTTTCCTCTGACCCAAGCTTCTGTTGCACCATATTGTCTCTAGTGATGTTTAACGTGTATCTCCATATATATAGTTATGATCAATTTTGAATGCTATTTCTCAGCACTTCCAAAACTTAATAGCACGTGCCTCAAAGATCTGTCTTAATTTTTGCCAATGTTTCTTTTACACCGTCACAACGTTTCCTTGAGGGATGACTAATCAAATTTTATTGGGAAATAAAATAATGAGGCAGATGTTTGTGTTGATAGCAGTCAGCGAGCCAATCCAGAACTTTTCTAGTTAAATCCATGAAACATAATTACTATTTGTGGAAATGTTTCACACATCAACAAGCAGGCTTTATATGAAAGCAGCAGGCTTTATATGAAATCGAGCAGAATGGTGTTGGTTTATCAGAATCAATGTATACTATGTAATTTATCTTGATTAATTTAAGAGCAAGAATACAATAGCATATATGGTTCATGCATTTCAGTAATGAGCTTTCTGACAGCTATGGAAAATGACAATCTCAGCTCTATTCAATATTATTCGACTCACTTCCTGTGTATCCAAAAGGAACTACTTGACATTCTAGACCTTTGACCTTGTCTAACAACTTCTGTGATAGCCAGTTGTTTGGCATCGGTCTAGTAAAAAATATTAGTTAAAGGCGGCTGGGAGGGGTTTGAAAGACATGCGAGCCGGGGGTGATAAACTAATAATTTTTTTTATTGGGCCTTACAATTATTTTTTGACTTCAAACGTGGGTAAATATTTTAATTTTTATTTTCTCAAATTTAATCTAAATTATATCACAGCAAATGTTGTTGTCAAAGTGCATAACTTAACGGCTGGGAGGGGTTTTAAAAGACATGCGAGCCCGGCGGGGGTGATAAACTAATAATTTTTTTTATTGGGCCTTACAATTATTTTTTTACTTCAAACGTGGGTAAATATTTTAATTCTTATTTTCTGAAATTTAATCTAAATTATATCACAGCAAATGTTGTTGTCAAAGTGCATAACTTAACGCTGATTAACGAATTCTGGTTACGTTAATTTTCGTTGTCAACGAAGTCTATTTTACGAACAAGTCGAATGAAAATAATACTCGACAAAAATTTGTACTCAACGAAATGAACCAGTCGAATAAACCCATGAAGTTGTTTTGACAAGCGCCCTCTGTCATTTGCGGGAATCATGGCGGAAGATCAACGCGCAACATTTAAAGTGGTAAACTTCTGTTTTATTTATTTATCTGTCATGAATAAGACAAGTGATAAACTATTAAGTGAAGGGCCCTTAAGTTTTAACCTTATAGTCTCGGTTGTAATAGGCCTAGGCCTAGCAATATTTAGTAGCCTAACAGGGCCTATTATTATTAAGAAAGGCCCTACTGTACTGACTGGGCTAGGCCTAGCCTAGCCTAGCCTCCTAGAGAGGGTCTAGGCTAGTAGCAGAGTAGGCTCGATGTAGGCTAGGCACATGGATGTACTATACTACTAGGCTAAGGCTATTGTACAGTTTCATGACTGCAGTTGGCTTCAATGTATGGGGAGTAAGCTTGGATCAGGTATAGGGTGGGGGGGGGGAGACACCCTGTTTTTAAGGGGACACTTCTGTGAAATGAGGGGCAATAGTGTCATGTATAAATTCCAAGGAAACCCACATTGGCACCAACGGGTACATTCCAGTCCTACCTTATGGTCAACTTCAGGAAGTAACTAAGGTTATTCACCCAGGTAGTTAATGAGTCTTAAACAGGTAGTTGATGAGTCAGTGATGTGTCATTAACCATCTTCTTGGAATCTATATAGCTACTCCCCTTTGGTCCCATATATATATGAGAAAGAAATTATTAGAGAGAAGGACACATAGAGGACACAGAGAAGGAGACAGAGAAAAACCATAGAGATGGAGATAGAAAGATAGAGAGGAAATGTTTTATGTTTACATTATAGAGTTCAGCACATTTTGTATATTTGATTGATTGTGATATACAAAAATAAAACATAACAAGGAACTGCATAACGTCCACTGAGTATAATTCGAGTTCTAACCTCTCTTGTGAATCAACATAGACCCCAACACGACAATAGGCCTACTGTATGTCTTTTAACAATACAACCAACCACAATTAAGGTGACACCCCTACTTGGGGACGGGGACACTTTTTAATTTCACCCTTATTAAGGGAACGTGTATTTTTTTCATAATTGTATCGAAACAACATTAGTCACAAAATTTAAAAAAAAATCATTCATATTTATATTTGGACACCTTTTGAGCAATAAACTTAACATTAAACCAAAATTCTTTCCATCCTTAGAATGGACATTGGATGCCTAGTGCATGTGTTACTCTGTATAAATAATAATAATAATAATAATAATAATTTTAACGATTAACCATGATTATTTCTTGTTCTGTGTATTGATATAGGATTCTGCACCCAAATTTTTAAGTTGGTAATATCTATTATTTATAGTAATTCTATCTTGTGCATCCAATAAAAAGCTCAATATTTATAAAAAGAATATTTATCTGGTCATTATTGCTCTCGAATAAAGAAAAAATATCAAGAACACATACAACCTTTGTAGTAAATACATTATTTTTTACATTGCAAATTATTGTTATAAATTTAATTAAAATTAAACTTTTTAATTTAATGAGCATTATAGGCCTGCATGTATCTTAGATTTGATGACGCATTATGTGCGTACACAACCATTATACATGCTGTAGGTAGAGTATAGTAGCATTTTTGCAACACACAGAATGTTTATCAATAGAACAACTTCAGGGGTATTTGTTTATCTACTGAACATCAAGGGTAACCCACCCACCCAGTCTATGCACTTATTTCCACTGGTGTCCTTCAGGTGGTGATTGGCTAGTCCAGCAAGAGGCCTATCCTGGTATTTTCCAAACAAGTGCATTCTTTACCATGTACATTAGACAGGGTTTAAATGACTCTACTGAGAAGCACATTTCAGTCCTCTAGCTGGAACACAAGGACAGCAGCAGAGGGGATTATACTGGTGCATATAAAAGTAAGATACATTAAAGCCTATTAATGTTATTAAAATGCTTTATAAATTTAATTAAGCAGGTGGAGGTCATTGCTAATGCTACAATGATTAATGGTAGACAAAAAAATACATATAGTAGTACGGTACCTATTTTTTTTATTCTAGAGTGCGTATTTTGTATTCTTACTGTAAAACCTGAAGAGATCCATAAAGTTTGAAAATTGAACACTATAATTAATTTTCAAGCTATTTCTGACACCACTAATAAATTCTTTGGTCTCAAAAACATGACACTAATATTAACAAAATATGACTTCAGATGAAAAAGTTATGACATTTTTCATGTATTTTAACTGCTGCAGGGGTCATTTTCCCCTTACCCCTCAATATCGTTTTTTGGCCCACACATCCATTTTTTCAACCAATTTTCTTTATAATAAAATGGTGTCAAAATGTTCAGGACTATACGCAGCTTTATTTAACACCTGTACATTTCATATTTGAAATATCACCCCTTTTTTGATCCTGTAAAGCCCAGCACTATTAAAATGAATTACTGTAAACATACAGTATCTTAACTTATTTTTGCAGTACCCTATCATTTCAAAAACCGAAAGGTCCACTGATTAATCTCAGATAAGAAAGTATAATACATACTCCAAGTATTGAAATACACGCCATCGTGTTGGGATTCAATATTTCGACATTAATTATGTCATCATCAGGAAATGATGATGACATAATTAATGTCGAAATATTGCAGATGATGACATAATTAATGTCGAAATATTGAATCCCAACACGATGGCGTGTATTTCAATACTTGGAGTATGTATTATACTTTCCTATCATTTCATTTATAATTATTGATAGGTTTATAAGACCTATGTGCATACAGTAAATAAATAAACATTTAAACTGATAAACAATAATGAAATAGTAGTCATTAAACTTAGACATATTATAATATGTTCAATCAAAAATTATGTAATCAATAATTTATATCAGAACCAGACAATAACCACCCAAGACAATAACCACCAGAACAAAAACCACCCAAAGTGGACTATACCTTTGTTAAAGTGGGGTGTGCAGTGGGGTGGACAATGTTGAGTGGGCCTGTTTTTATCTAGCTTTACAATAGTTTACACTGTGACTTCATTATACGCCTTTAATTCATTAATTATTTTCACATCATGCATGTAGCTTGTCCCTACTTCCTTTAAAAGTTACTGTAAATACAATCTAATTAAAAGAGAATATGAATTAAAAGCGTATAAATAGGAACTCACAATGTAAACTAAGGCTAGATAAAAACAAGCCCATGCAACACTGTCTACCCTTCTGCCAACTCCTCTTTAACAATGGTATAGTACATTTTGAATGGTTTTTGTCCAGGTGGTAATTGTCCTTTGTGGTTTTTGTCATACATTCAGTTATATAACTGAAATAAATAGGGTGACAAATACACATAAATACACATAAAATAACCGATAAATTATACTAAAATAATACACTGAAACTTTGGCCTACACAGAGACTGACAGACATGACTAATCAATAAATAATACCTATTAAAATGATACACTAAAAATAGGCATACACAGGCACATAATTATAGACATAAATGATGAATAATTTTAACTGGAATAAGCTTTAAAATATGCCTATTATTACATTAGGCTATTATATATTTATTTTATGTAAATGAGTCTACCAGACACTACTTAGACACTTACAAAGACATATAATACAATTTATACTTCGCCATGCCTACTACTACTATTACAGCACTACAGGGTTGATTGTATTGAGGTGAAAGTTGGTGTGGCACTGGATCAGATGGTGGTGAATGGATATATAT